AGAGAGCTGCACTTGGGTGGGCTCGCGCCTTCTCATCTCCTTCATAGAGTTCCCTTCACAAAGCAGAGCTTCCCAGTCTGTCCCAGCATGTGACACATCTTCGTTTCTTCTTTCTCTTGCTACTACTTCAGCATAGCTTTGGCTTTTCTCGCTGCATTTGGCAAGAGTTTATTTCTACACTTAAGTCGAGTTAAAACAGATTTACTCACAGAATCTTATCTAAATACGATGGTGGAAGTCTGTTGAAAAACAAGCCAGCCAAGTTGCATGCGTTTAAAAAAAAAATGCCGTCATGACAAATGAGGGAAAAATTTATTTCCCAAGAAACAGCTTTAGAAAGCAACACTGCAAACTTTGTGCTTTGACTGGTGAGAGCACCGTGACTTAGACCTCACTGCTCCTACAGAATAAATGCCAATGTGTGTTTGTAGAACCAAAAAAATGTCTGCTGTGGTTATGTTGTCAGATAACCCAAATATTGTAGCTTCATTTAATCCACAGCTTGGGAAGTCTGCAGTGACCAAATCTGGCTCCAGAAAAGTGGAAATGCTGCCGTAATTACCAGTCAATATTGTTCCAAGGTGGTGCTGGTCTTTCATTTGCAGCAGTGATTTGATTTGCTTGGGCTCTTGTGGTCCAAAACACATGGAACTGTTCTGATGAAGATCAGAACCGTGGTTTGGTACTGGTTTAAGGAAGGCAGGTACCCGAACACCCAGCTGGCACTTTTTGCATATCTGTACTTCGGATCGATGTCTTTTTGAGCGCATCCACATCTTTCTGGGAAAAAGATTTTGTTTCCTTTCCTGCTTTCTGCATTTCAGGGCATCCTTTCTGTGTCTGCCCTCGATCCATTCTTTCAGTGATACAGATCATTTTTTTGTTATTGTGTTCCCAGTTGTCTTAACGCCTAAACAAAGGATTTGGATAAGTTCTCCAGCTACACAAAAGTCGCAAGGAGATGGGTTAACCAAAGGTCCCCCTTCTTAATTGCAAGCAGTGTAATCTGTAGCTTAACCTGTCATTAATATTATTAGGGATTAGACAAGACGGTCATGGTTATTGTGCTGAAAGTTCTGACACAGCACAGGCTGTAGGGTTTCCTAGAATTTATGTCTTCTCATGAACACTTGCTTTCCTTGGCCACAGATCTGTGAGTTTTGCTCTGTGTTGCTTTTGAAAATGATTAACTTCTGTAGCGACCCAAACTCTGCTATCGTGGGGACTCTGCAGGCAGCCCCTGGTTGTGTTTGCTAACGTCTGCATTGCAGGTCTGAGCACAACTAATGGCTGCAAGGAATGTGACCGCTGTCCTTTGACCGTTTCTAGCTGTGCTTCGACATCTTTTGTGTCTCCTCTGTTTGTTCAGCAGCTCATACGAACTGCTTGGAGTTTCCAGTGCTATCTGACTGCGTAGTCTAGTAATTAGATGGTGTAAAGTACTTAAAATATTACACAGATATGTCAAAACGTATTAACAGCACAAGTGCAACTTACTGCTGCTGTAAGTGGGTTTCACAATATGCTGTACTAGAATCCAGCTCTTGTGATTTATCGAACTGCACAAAAGTGAAGATCACCAGGAATGAGGTGATTAGCATCAGACTGGCTTTCTGCACTAAGAATGTGTATTACCATGATACTGTACAGAGTGAAGCATATAAATCCCTTCTCACCTAAAATCAGAAGACAGCCTGGAATAAAACCCAACAAATTAAGTTTCTTCGTATTTGTTCAGACCTCATCACTTTCTACAACCACCAGAAAGAAGATGAGTGGGGATTGGTCTCTGCTCCCAGGTAGCTGCGATAGGATGAGAGGTGATGGCCTCCTGTTGCACTGGGGGATATTCAGGTTGGGTATTAGGAGAAATTTCTTCTCCAAAGAGTGATGATGTGTTGGTTGGCACAGCTGCCCATGGAGATGGTGGGGTCACCGTCCCTGGAGGTGTTCAGGAACTGTAGAGATGTGGCACTGAGAGTCAGTGGTATGGTGGGGGTGAGCTGATGGTTGGACTTGGTCATCTTAGTGGTCTTTCCCAACCATAATGACGCTGTGTCTTGTGGTTCACCATCTAAGGTGGACTTTCTCCATGGTGGTGTTCCCACAGACATACTTGTTTGTGGGACCCCCCATAGTGGGGACATCATCTGGGCTCCTGGTGCTCAGGGGAGGCCTGAGGAACAAACACTTCCAGGATTTGCTCCTGGTGCCCACTTCACTGGAACACTTCCCTGCTTGCTCGCTTCTCCTACAGAGACTTAAGTGCTGTTTGCAAACGGGAACGATGCTGTTGCTGCATCCTACACATGCTTTCCTCCTCTGTGCAAGCTCGGGTATTGCTTAAATACACAGTGTAAGCACTGCAGTTTCAAAGATCTAATCTAATAATAGATTGGTCTACATTTGCTGCGTTGCCAGAAAAAGACATATGTTGTCAGGCAGTCGAAGTCAGCAACAGCACTGAAATGCAAATGTGCTGAAACATGAAGAAGGCAGAAATCCAGAAGGATCTATCAGAGGTTTGGCTATTAGGGAACTAAAAATATTTTCTTCTCTGCATATATGCTTTCCACACGTACTTAGAGAAGTACTGTTTGCCTGATGTCTCAACGTGGTTAAAGGGCATTTCCTTTCCTTCCTTGGCTTTGGTGTGAGAGTAAGAGTTGGTATTGATGTTCAGCTTTTCTAAAAGGAAGGGGATGGTTGGAAGAGTTTGAATGGGAGAGGAGCATGTAGTATGGCACAAGAGAAGAAATACAGTATTGGGTTCCTTCTGGCACTGATGCTTTGAGGCAGTGGGCACAGGTCTTTACACGGCCTGTGCTGGGATGCAGGGTTATAGGGTGAGGACGTGGGCTTTGGTTGCATGCAGTAATAACTTTCTGTGCCATATTTTGTCACACAGGGTTTGCAATTTCATTTTTAGCTTTTCCCTGGGGAAGAAAAAAAAATGCCAAATTGGTTTGAACGATGTGAATGTATAGCCCAAGAAAGGATGGTCTTTTGTGGGCCGCTGGAAAGGCTGTGCTTTTAAATTCACAGCTCTCTGTGCTGCTGACCTTTTTGCAGGATTGCTGTGAGGTGGAGATTGGGCTTGGCGCTGATGTATGAAGATGTGAGGTTTTGACACACTTTCTGAGCCAGCAATTATGGGATTTCATCTGTACATATCCCTTAAATATCATCATTTTTAGATGTGCACTACGAAAATGGCATCTGTCAATGCTAATACTTTTTCTGCCAGATCAGTGTGTGCACACAGACATGTATTACCTTTCTGGAACAGAATTGCTCTATAAATATCATTGCAGATCAGAGAAAGGTAGTTTGGGGATTTGAGGGGTTCGTTTTGTTTTTCAATATTAATGTTTCTTCCTAGCTCTTCCCTGCTCAGCATGCATGTGAGTAGACGGGCTGGTATGGCGAATAATTTCAGCAATGTGTCCAGGCAGTTCACCCCATAAATGATCAATGCTGATCTCTCTGGGGAGCCACCTGGAGCAGAATCCCAGGAATCCTTGCCACCCAGATCGCCTGTCACAGGTTGCATCCTCATGCAGTTAAGCAGTAAGAATTTTAAAGAATGGGCTACCACTGCTTTCTGCTTCTCTTGGCACAATTCCTGGAGCGAGTTGAGTTAGTAAATGTGGCTGTCACAGTAGCTATTACCAATGACACAAAATAATTAAGTTGTGGTTTCTGTTGTGGTGGGGCTGCTGCTGTATTTTATAGTGATACATCTGTGCTAGGAGGGAGGATGTCATGCTTGATTGTCGTGACGGATGCTTGTAAAGAAGCGGGATGAGTCTGTAAAGGCAGGTTGTGCAATGCGTCCATTTACGTGGCACCCTGCGGGCTGCATGCAGGTCACTGATGGAGCTGTGTGTTGTTTCTCCTCGTTTCCCCAGTGAGATGATAGAGAGGGTGGCAGCCCTCTCATTTCTCTTGTTTTGGGAGGGGGCATCTTTTTTCAAGCAGACATTGCTGTGCCATACTTCAGTGCATGTCAGGAAAAAAATTCCTTCAGCTGTCTGTGATGTGAAACCTTAAGGCTGAGGCTTTTTTTTATTGGTGTCTGCAGTGGAAGAATCTCATGTCACATTTGTTTTGTATCTGGTGGTAGGGGTGACATTGTGTGCAGCACTGAAGGAGGTGGAGAGGTCGTGATGCGTGTGGTCTGGGTATTAGAAGATGAGCACACAGCAGGGACAGCAGGATATTAAGGCATTAACCTCTTGGGTTGGATATTAGGAAGAACTTCTCCAAAAGAGTGGTGATGCATTGGCACAGCTGCCCAGGGTGGTGGTGAGGTCACCATCCCTGGAGGTGTTGAAGTAGCATGGAGATGTGGCACTGAGGGATGTGGTTAATGGGCAGTATTAGTGGTAGGTGGATGGCTGGGCAAGGTTATCTTAGAGGTCTTTTCCAACTTTAATGATTCTGCGCTCTTGTGCTTGGTGGCTTGCTGCCATTTTTCTCTTCACCTTGAGCTCCCCTAGGAACAGAGGCTGCCATCTGAATGAAGGGACAGGGACCGAGCTGGGAATCAAGGTGATCTGGCTGAGAGATCTGCCTCCAAACCTCATTGTGTCAGGAGGCTTTGGAGACAAACAGGGAAGGTGCATGTGTGACTCATGGGGAGGCTTTTGAAGGTGTTGGAGCGAGCAGGCAGTGAGCAAAAAGCCTTTTGGTGTAACACAGCAGCTCCTGGGCTGTGACAGAACGCCTTAAGGGATGTGGTGATTAAGAAAAGTAACTAATAACTAAATCATAAAAATAATAAGTGTTTTACCAGCTCCGTTGTGCCTAGGCAGCAGGGAATGTGGGTCACACAGCGTGAACAGCTGAGCCAGGAATAAAATCTGTGTCTGTGAATGCCTTGGGCTGCTCTGTGCAGCCAGCCAATGGCTCTTTCCCCAGCACTACCTATTTTAAATGGAAGATCAAGCTCTGCTCACCTTGGTACCTAATCACATTCCACTGTTTGCCTTTGCCAGGTGCAAGTTCTTCAGCCTCACGGAAACCCCCGAGGACTACACCATCATTGTGGATGAAGAGGGCTTCCTAGGTGAGTGCCAACGTGTGCCTCTTCAGCATCCAGCCTGGGGAGGAAAATGTCATTTCTTGCTGAGATCGTAAGGTAAAGTGTTTGTAAAACAGGGCTGTTTGTCAGTGCTGGTGGTACGGCTATGAAAGGTGCTTTGATCACTTAAGCACGCTGTCTGTGCTGCTGTGCTGTACAAGGTGTCTCGCACACAGAATGTGAATGTATTTTAATGCCGAGAGAAGAACACACGCAAATCTCAATGAGCAGCCTAAAGATATTTGAAAAAGCAAAGCCATCTGGTATTACCTTGTTAAAATTGTCTTTTGTGCCCAAACCTCTATGAGCACACCACATCTCACGTCTCCAACTCGTTCCTCCACTCTACCTTTATAAGGAGCTCTTGAGGATGAGCACTTTGCATCATCCCCATGCCCTCCCAGCACCCGCAGAGTTGTGCATCAGCTGCTTTGGTTCATCACTGAAAGCTGTGACTTCTCCCTGTTCTCACCCACCTCTCCCCAACTCAATGTACCATCGTTGCCATGGGGTGAAGGGCATGATCAGTGGACCGTGGTGAAGGACATGGCTGATGTCACTGGTGGAGTTGGTTGGTTGGGTGTCAAGGAAGGTGGCTGGTGTGTGCTTGGTGCTGCAGGCAAGTGCTGATGGAGAGAATAGTTTGGCTTTGCAAACGGAAATAGTTTGTAATACCATTTATTGTGTGGGGAGGTTTTGTTTGTAGGAGCCTTGTTGAGATGGTGGAATGAGGAAGTGTGCAATTATTATTATTTGTGTTCAATGGCTGCTCTCTGTGGTTGGGATTCAAAGTCTACACATATTACCGGTTTGGAGAAAATTCATTAAAATATGAAAGAGGAGGATTTCATTCCTGGATGGGAATTAACTGTCAATAGCTGCTTGCGACACTGTGACATTCAATGGTTTTGTCATATCCAGATCCTGAGGAGAAAATTAGAAACTATTTAGTACAGAGTCGAAGTTTTATAATCAGTGTCACTGCTGAATTATTCCCCTTTCTGTTTCAGGAGTACTCATAAACATAGGATAAATTGCTGCATTTTGGAATACAATAATGGTGGATTGAACATAAAATAATCACTATGTTGACAATAGGTGAATGGATCTTTACAGCTACTGCTGTGAATTGGGAGTAGCAGGGTTTGCTTGGAAGTCATACTGCTGTGAGTTGGGAGTTGTGAAGTTTGCTTGGAAGTCACATGTCCTGACTTTGTTCCCAAAAGAGGGGGTGACAAATGATCCTCCTGCCTGCATCCCTCTTGTTGTGCTTGTTCAGGTGGCGTATGCATGAACCTTTTATTGCTGCTATTGATAGTATCGGCCTTTCTATTACGGGTGGCAGCTGGGGGAAATCAATTCAAATTTGGTTTCCCCATTATAACAGGATGCAAAGTGTTCCTCTAAGAGCTTGATAATAACAGAGGATTCACCAAAGTAAGAGGAAAGTTGTTTATTTTTTGTTTTTCCTAAGTACTGCACTATGTGGCAGAGCTTTTCCCAGTTAATACAAATAGATTCCTCAATTCAGTCACTGGTGGCAAGCCTGGATGGCCAGCAGCCCTGCACAGCCTTTGCCATTGCCAGTCCATGCTGTTATTTATCTCCCTGGAAATGACTCTGTCTTGAAATGAAGGTAAGCTCCAGCAGCAATTTGCTCATCAGCAGTGAGGTTGTGTTGCTCTGTGTGTCACTGGTTGTGCTTAGAGCAAATCCTGGGGCCAGGATGCCATGTCCTTGTGGGGCTGTGTGTCCTGCTGCTGCCCTGGGTTATCTTTGGGAAGCAGACAGTGCTGTCGTACTTCAGAGCAGCCGTCCTCTCTGCTTGGACCCGTCTGACTTTGTTGCCTTGGCTGTCATATGCACATGAATTTACTGCTGATGCTTAGAGTAGCCTTGGAGCTTCCGTTGGGCTGTGGTTTTGGCAGCGTGTCACATCCCTTTGGTCAGATGTGCAGTGTGCAGATGGGTGTTAAAGCAGAGCTTTGCAGGAGCAAAGATCATCTTCCACGCAGTGCAGGGGAAGGAGGGGGTGCATTGAGGCCAGTGAGCCAGGTGCACGAACCAGCACAGCCAGCAGTGTCACAGGACAGCAGCTTCATCACCTTCTCTTTGCTGGGAAGTGTTGATGTGATGGCAAGTCTTGCATTGTGTGCACCCTTCTAACTCTCCTAACAACCCCATTCCTGTAGGGAGTCCAAAATCTTTCAGAACTGTCACCACCATGTTCAAAGCTTCTTTCTCAGGGTCAGCCCTGCTGGGATCCCCACTGTTGCTCCATCACAGAACGGCCAGGGTTGGAAGGGACCTCAAGGATCATGAATCTCCAACCCCCTGCCACACGCAGGGCCATGAACTTCCCCATTTAATGCTGGACCAGGCTGCCCAGGGCCCCATCAATCTGGCCTTGAACACCTCCAGGGACAGGGCATCCATTTCCACGTGCTGCAGTGTTTCAACATCCAGAGGAAATCAGAACCTTTCTCTCTCAGGCACCTCTACGAATTTTTGCAGTGGCAGCAGCAAGAGGATTGCCCTGCTAGCCAGTGCCTGCCAGGTTGGCCAGGCCCCTTGTCCTACATAGCACAAACAATACTGGAGAGAGAAGAAAGCTGGGGAAATGCTGGCACTTCCAGCAATCCTTGAGGTTAACACTTCAAACACACTGACGTGCAGTAATCATTCTTAACTGTTTTGTCAAAAAATAATCCTCAGGCTTGTTTCCCTGCAAGAAACAAGTGAGTTGGGCTGGCAACCAAGTCATTATTTCTCCTTCCCAGAACATATCCGCAGTGCAAAGCCGTAACCTGCTTAAGCATTCCTTGCTCTGGAAGGGAACGGCCACAGCCTAATTCTTTGCTTTAATTCCTTGGCGCTGAGGTGGGGGATTAGATCTGCACAGAACCTCATTTGTTCCAGTGGCCATTTCTTGGACTTTGGCCTGCTGATGGGGAAGAATTCTACGCAGCAAAATTACACTGGGACAGTGCATAGAAGTGTCCTTTCGTGGCAGGTGCTGGGATGGATTGGCAGAAGGGTTTTGTGTGGGTCCTCCTGTGTGAAGGCAGTGTTCTCAGTGACCAGGTGCTTGCACAGATGTGGTTTTGGGGGGCAGGTGGGGTAGCAGCATTGTTCAGTGATATTCCCAGCAGCTATCTTGTTGCATCTTCTGTACCTGTACCCCCAGGACCTTTTATTGCAGGGAATGGGGCAGTTTGGGTACTTTGTTTTTCTCATCTTTTTTTTTTATGCTGGTTTCTTCAAATTGTTTGTTTGCAGTTCTGCTTATCCTTTGCTTTTTTTCCTCTTGGAAATGCAGTGCTAGGTTTAATGATAGTTCTGATTTGGCAATGCCATTCATCAAGCCTCTCCTTTTATATAATGTCTCTGTAGAGCACAGTGTGAAAGGAAGAACTAACACTCTTCCAGAGCTGCCTTCAGGACTACAACACAAATGAAGGAACAACCCACCAAGGGTAGCCTATAGTTGATGGTTGCATGAAGGTGAGAGATGTCTGTGGGTTACTCCCAGGTATTTCTTTGTTGCATTTCTTGCATTTGCTTGAAACAAAGCTGGACAGTTGGAAAGGACCTTCACAGAGTCACCACCGCTGGGACCTAAGGGAGAAGGAGTTCCTCTGTTGTGCCACCTTTGGGGCATGATAGTCCCTTTACATCTAGAAGGCAGCAAGATCTGCTTTCTCAGTTTCTGCTTCATTTATGATGGTCCCTTTTTAAGACCCCTGGAAAGGCAGTGGCTGGAGTTTGAAGGCTTCCTGGGAGCACACAGAGCCTGTTGCTGCACTGACCTTGGACTCTCCATATCCCTATGATGTAGTTCATCTGCAAACAGGAGGTAGCAGTCCTTCCTTTAACCTTCCTGGGCTGCCTCAAATGGACAGCAATTTCCTTAAGGCCAGAAGTCCGTGTATTTGCGCAGCATCTCGAATGAAGAGGTTCCTAATCTCAGTGCAGACCTCACAGTAAATTGCCCAGTACATTAAGAATAATGGAACTGTTTGGAAAGAAAAACTCGACCAGCTGAAGTGGCCGAGAGATTTTGTCAGAATTCATAAAATGTTTACCTCGTTCCAATGAAAAGAAAGGATGAAAAGGAGAAAAGCCCTCCTGCTGGCAGCGCTGTGTTTTGATAACCATCATCCTCAGACAACCTGTTCCCTGTCTGACCTTGGATTCAGGACCATCACATACTTTAATACTGCATTGAGTTCCCTTTTTCAATAACATCAAAATGGTAAATTGCTTTCAGCATTTTCTCTTTCATCCTGTATATAAAATGGGCAAGAAATCAGCTTATAAGTGCAAGCACAGAACCCATCTAGCTGGGAGCAATCTGTAACTTTATTTAAAGATAGTGGGGGAAGCAAGCTATTAGATGCATCTGTTTGGTTTGTTTAATATTTCTCCTATAACTGTTTTTCCTTTAATTTTTTTACTGCCCAGTGACTGGGCCTTTGTATCTCAGGCATGATGGCTTAATTTGCCTGCTGACATTTATAGCACTGAATTCCTTCCCCTGGCCCGCCAGGAGAGCTGGCTGGTTGCTAGGCAGAAGATGTTTTTCTCTATTAAACACGTGCACAGTCGCTCTCTTTCGGATCTCTGTATTGGGCAGACTGTACTCTGTGGTGTTCAGGTTGTTTGGTGTTTTTTAAGTAATGTGGTATTAATGACCTAAATACAAATTAAAAGCATGGGGACCTGACTGGCTAATGAGAAATACGTGCTTGGTTGGGAAGGATTTTACTGCAGTGCTGATGCAGATCAATATGCACGTTAGGGGGCTGTGATGATGTGGGATTTCTGCCCTCTCCTGAGAGGCAGGGAGGTTTGGTATTACAGTTTTTGGGGGAAGGGAAGGAAGGATAAGAAGTGTGTCATATTCCAAGGCCTGGTTTGTGTCACTGGGTAGAGGAACATCACTGTGCACACACGAGTGAGTTTGCACATACTATTCCTTGTGG